TTAAGAGGTGATCAAGATTTGTTCAAATGCATGAAACAATTCTCACAGCCAGCCAGTGTATGTTTGAAATATTACCACAAGGCCATGAATGTCCACCATCATGTCTACACGGGAAGCAAAGCAGTATAGCCATGAAAATGTCTCAGTTGTTCCTTTCTATAGTTTTCAGTTCATATTAATACCCATATATTGAACTGTTGTGACACAAGCCACATGTCAGGGCAGTGAAGGAAACAAATGAAAAGTACCTAACCTCTCCTGTCAATCTTCGGCAAAGCCCAGACACACAACTCTTTAAGTTAAACCATGTAATTGCCAACACTGGACCTGCGAAAGCAGCCGTCTTAGGCTGGGGAGCTAGCTCAGTGGTAGAGGGCTTTACCAGCATGCAGGAGGCCCCAGGTTCAGTCCCCTGTGTGGCCAGCAAAGGTAGGCAGCATCCCATTTAGTTCAAACTGACAGAAGAGTCAAATTATATGCAGTGGACACATAAGGGAGAAAGGTGATTTGGGCTTCTTAGAAGAGGTGATGGGAATTTTGGTCCGAACAGGGGTAGAGGGGACCCTGAGCCGTGATCAGGCAGTATGGCTCAGAGCAGTGCTGTGCAGCATAAGCAGGAACAGACCATAAGGATGAAGGGGAAGATAAGATTGAAAAACAGGTTAATTTCTTGACAGCTTTAAATGCTAAAGAGTAGATTTTATTAAGTAAATATGGAAACCCAAAGGAACATAGGCAGAGTAACAGCCCTGAAATGCTGCTTTTAAAAATGACACCAAGAATGTGGATGGATCAACACATGGACTGTACTGTGCCAGGGTAAACTGTAAAGGTCTAAATATGGATTGTGCTATTGGGAATAAAAAGCAGGCTAGAGAGTAGAGTTCTGCATAGCAATAATCAGCAATATTCAGTAAGATGTATGGGAAGGCAACAGTATGAAGGTCCCCAATTTAGTAAATATTAATTATGTGCTAAGGATTTTGTTTTTTTGTTTTTGTTTTTTTTTTAATTTTTATTTATTTATTTATTCGTGTGTGTGTGTGTGTGTGTGTGTGTGTGTGTGTGGCCAGCTCAGCTCACCAGGGGGTGGGGCTGTCTGGCATGTGGTGCTGGGGGATTGAACCGCGGTCCCTGTGCTAAGCTTGTTCCAAGTAGGCGCTTTAGACCACTGAGCCATCTCACCAGCCCCGTGCTAGGGATTTTGTTAAACATGTCCTTGCCTTCTCTTCTTTAATATTTACAACAGTTCCCATAATGTGGATTTTTTTTTTTTTTAAACCAGGGATTGAACTCAGGACCTTGCACTTGCCAGGCAAGTGCTGATACCCCCAGGTCCCCATAATGTGGATCCTATTATCCATTCATATTTAACAGATAAAGAGAATCCAGACCTAGGAAGACTGCATAAGGTGACTTATTACAAATTGACTTAAATTTAAATTCAGGTTTATCTAGGAAGGGATGCATTCCATCTTACTAAATGCTTGGCACTGCACAATTTGTCTGAGTTTCATCAGTGAACAAAATGAAGATTCTTGCCTTCATGGAGCTTAAAGTAGGGGTAGAGGACAGTCAATAATTAATAAAATTATGAGTTATAAAACTGGAAGAGCAGACTAATAGAAGTCGGGGACAAATGAGGCAGCATGAGTAAGTACTAGGGAGTTAAGTTGCAAAGTTTGTGTTCTTGAGTACTTGAAAAGTGGTACAAAGGGCAGGAACTGGCTTGAGAAGGAAGTGATAAGACTTCTGTTTTAGTTATTTCAGATTTTGAAATACCATATGCCTCAATGTGAAGAATATCTCATAGGCAATACGAGAAGATTCAGCTCCAAACAAGGGTCCAGTCTGAGCCTGCTGTATGCTATTGAGGCTCAAGGGACTCAACGAGTTCATCCCAGCAGCCTTGCAGAGTGCTCTTCTCGACTGTTCTCACAAACCGTGAAAATTACACCGCACCACCATGGACTCAAAGGTCAGGAGTCCCTAAGAGCAGGGACCTGAACCAGAAGCAAGTGCTGCGAAGCAGGAGACAGCTTTTATCAGTACTTACTTAGGAATTACAGCCAGGAAAAACCGGAGAGTTCACCAGCATTTACTATTAAAACAAAACAGAACAGGGCCAGGGAGATGGCTCAGTGGAATAATGGCTTCCCTGGCAATCACAAGGGCCTGAGTTCAATCCCCGGTTCTGACAAAAAAAAAAAAAAAAAAAAAAAAAAAAAAAAAAAAGCGGGGTAAGTGTGGGCAGGACAGGGCGAAGAGCTGCTAGCCTGGTGCACTGGCAGAGACCATCAAGTGGCGGAGTCTGGGGTGTTCTGTGGCTTTTGGAAAAGTCTTCAAGCAGTTACCATGTCAAGCAACACAGATGTTTCTCTTTCTTCATACGATGGAAGATCAGGGATCTAAACTTACCTGAAAAGCTCAAGAAGCACTGTTTGTTCCTATTGGAAAGGCAGGCTTCGCAGCAATGGTCATGTACTGATTATACAGATTGAAGAGCAGAGGAAACACTAAAATGTCCATGCACCAGATCCACATGCGCGTGGCAGCCCAAGGCTTTGTTGTGGGTGCAGTGACCCTTGGTATGGGCTATTCCGTGTATCAGGAGTTCTAGGCAAAGCCTAAACTCTAGGAGAAGAGATGATGTCTTGGACTCTTTGGAAATGCTTGCTTTAGACGTCTCATGTTGAGGTTACATATTTGTGTCAAAAGTCCTTTGAGTTGGTTCAAACTGTATTATATAGTATTTGGAATAACGTTTCTTCCTCACAGACTTGATGACCACGCTAGTGGTGACTAGATCACTGTGTCATTCAAGTCTAGAAACAGGTCACCTCTGTGTACTGGATAGCATTAAAGTCCACTTTCCCTCACCCCTCATGACAGTTCCTCCTACGCTGGCCAGTCCTGAAGCACTCCAGCCCTGCTGCTGAATGTCACACACCCTGCATGTTGGGTAGGAGCCCCATTGACCCCAGTTACTCGTTTTTCCTTGTCTGCCTTGTGGACTGCAGTGACGAGTTGGTTTTTAGGATTGGCTGGCTCTGGAAGAACTCTTTCAAAGCACATCTAAGCGAGCACAAGGGCCGGAGTTCAATCCCCAGTTCCACCAAAAAAAAAACAAAAAAAAAACTAACACTCAAAGCACATCTGAGATGTAGCTTGTAGCCCTCACACAGCTGACGCTCAGACCTAGAGTACTTAATGTGAGCGCTGCATTGAAGTCATATTTTATTTCAGAATCACACTTGTAAGCACGAGACTAGCGTAACTATGAATTGCAGTTTAGCTCTTTTATACTTGTAGAATTATATTTTTTGCTGCTGTTGTATTAGAATAATTTTTTTTTTTTTTTTTTTTTTTCGGAACCGGGGATTGAACTCAGATCCTTGCGCTTGTCAGGGAAGCACTTATTCCACTGAGCCATCTCCCCAGCCCCTTAGAATAATTTTTAAATGTCATCTTGAAATAGAAGTATTTATCTTAAGTGCTAAGGCACAGATAACTACTTTTCAAATGTGTGCAGTATGTTTCTCTGTAAGAATTATGAATGTTAAGCACTTTACTCAAAGTACAAGTGATCAGTGGTTTAGTAGGGAGTGGCCAGTTAGGCACAACACACAAGCTCTACTATACCCCAGAATGGCTGTGAATGCTCGCAGAACCTCTTACCTAGCCTGAACTCACATTCCATGGTGACATCATATCTGCCATGTTATTAAAGTGGGTGAATAAAAAAAAAAAGCAATAAAAATAAAAATAAATAAATAAATAAAAATTTTTAAAAAGCAACAAAAAAACTCAGTTTTGGACTTTCTTTTTTGGATTAATAAAATAGAAATTTATTTCAATTTATGTTTTTATGTATTTAGTACAGGGTCTCATTACACAGTTCAGACTCGTAGTGTTCCTCCTGTTTTCAGCCTCCCAGGTGCTGGAATTACAGGTGCGCGCCACCTCATCCAGTCTCAGTTGCCATCTCAGTGCGCCCCAGGGATCAGACCCCAACCACTGAGAAATTTATGTTTTTAAAACATTTCTGAGAAATTTCTTTATAAGGTTCTTTTTGTTTGAAGGTGGAAAGTGAGTTTAGGAGAAAGTATATTGGAGATCAGAATCTACTTGGGAGCAGGTGTGAAAGTACCACAAACCTGAAGTGTGTTTATCTAAGTATAAAAACTAGCCTAACATTATGTTTTGCACTTACATTCATTAAATAGGAGTGTGCCGGGATAAAGTAAAAAAAAAAAAAGGCACCATTTTACAGTTTGAAAGCTACCTGTTGTTTCCCAGGGGTTACCTCTACTACTCAGAATTACTCTCATTAATAATAATGATAAAGTATTATTGTAACTATCCTACTAACATGTTTTGAAACTCTCATTGCTATTTCTTTCTCATTAAAATTAATAAAAAAAATTTAAATAATAATAATAATAAACCCCTGCCGGCTCTAAATGCAGTCCCTCCGGACCAAGTTCCTTCTCATTGAAAGCCTCTTAACCTCAGAATGCCCCAGTTGCCCACATTTCAACCTGTTCCACTTTTAAGACAAAGCATTGTCAAGATTAGTATCTAAAAGGAAGATCTTGGCAGCCGAGAAGAAAATGCTGTTCTTTCCAGAGGCTGCTTGAACCCGCTCCGCTTGGAGCCTACAGTTACCCCTAGCTACTATTGTAGCTGCAGCCCTGCCCCCGTCGCTAACGAGCCCGCGAGACGGGGCAGCTGTGAGAGACCCAGTGACTGTGCGCTGCATTGAGGTCACTCTCACAGGCAAATCGCTACTCCAGGCCTCCCCAAAAAAACTTCTTCGTTTCTGCAGCAGTCAGTGTACTGCCCTAACCCCACAACCCAAATTCCGCCACACACCCTCGCACTTCGCACCCGCAAGCCCTGCAGCGGAAAGGCCCGCGGATCTCGCGGCCCCGCCCCTCGGCCTCTGAACCACGCCCACTCCGGGCGGGGCCTCCGCGTAGAAATGGATGACTAAGTAGGTTCGGCCGGCAAGAGCGGAAGCAGTCGGCCTGTGTCCCGGAAGCAGTGGCTTCAACTTCCGGGTTGTGCTTCTGTGCCTAGTGCGGGAGTCTAGGGACCCAAAGACTGCTTGAAGTAGTGGGTATACCAACATGTCCCGTGGGTCCAGCGCTGGGTTTGACCGCCACATTACCATTTTTTCGCCCGAGGGTCGGCTCTACCAAGTAGGTGAGTGAACCAGGTCTGTCTGTGGTCCACGCGAAGTGCTCTGTGGTCCATCCGAAGTGCTCTGTCATGCTTCGGCCTGGAGCAAGCAGACGCGGCCCGAGGTTAGCCTGCCTGTAAAGCAGAGCCACATGTGGGAAGGGAGGAAGGTCGAGGCTGGGCTGAGCCCCGTGGTGCTTCCGCCCGTTTGGAAGCAGGCTGCGGGGCCCGAGAGCTGCAAGCCTGGCTCTGCTCCGGGCGAGCGCCGCCCCGGCTGGACGCAGTAGAGAGTTAGGAGAGTTAGATCTGCGACCCTGCCTCTGGCTTCCTGGGTGCCCCTGCAGTTCTCTTCTGTCCTGGTAGGCCCAGCGCCTTCTCTGAAGAATAAATGGTTCCTTAACTGCCAGCTAAGGAACCTTCTTGCTGCTTTCCTTTGTTTGCAGCATGGACTTCTTGACTTAAGACTTAACTCCACACCAGCAGTCAGAGCCTGTGTCGGGCCCTCTGCTGGTTCCAGGGAATACAAAGACAAAGACACACCCTCTCCCCCACTGAAGCCCACGGCTTATACAGAACCAAACAAAAAGTACCGATTTACAAGTATCTACAGGGTCCAAGACCTCTTTGAAAAACTGGTAGGATGCGTGGCTCCCACTTACAGAGCTGCTCTTGAAACGCCATTCGTCATTTAACCCCCTGTAAGGCTGTTGGAGTACTCTTTGTCTTTCAAAAGCTAGTTCTGAATTGTAGCAGTGGTACAGTGTACCAGCTGTTTACTATGTAACAACTATAATGGAAATAAACCTAAACTAGTTAACACTTACTCAGTAAAACATATTTTGTTGCGTTGAAATAGTGAAGTTTACGTTATGGTTGCAGGCCAAACTTTGACCTCTTGCCAGAGAAGTTAGTGTCAAAAGAGCCTGATGAAAGCCTGGTGTAGGTGCACACCCATGAGCCCAGTACTCTGGGAACTGAGGCTGAAGGATCACAAATTTGAAGCCAGTCTGGGCTGCATAGCAAGACCCTGCCTGAAAAGACTGAGGGTAGAGCCTGATTTACATCTGAGCCATGATAATTTTTCTTGAAGTAAGTTTAGTACCTCCATGACTTTGCAAAGAGTAATACAGTCATCTTGCTTGGAAATGATAAGTAGAGAATTGGCCTATAAATGAAGTTCTGTTCACCTGTGGAATTTAAAAACAAGCTTTAAAGTGACTTGTAATGAAACTGATTCACAGTATTACATGCTGGGTATAATGTAGCAAGGAACAACATCATGTTGAGTATTTGAGTTTCCCTTTAACTTCAGTTGAAAGGTGTAACTGTGTCCTTAAGGATTTGTCATTTGTAGTGTCCTGAGTTTTAAAGGGCTTTTCTATATTGAGTTACTGCTTTTAAAAAAAAAAAAAAATGTATTTATTTTGTGACCTGCTCAGCCCACCCGGGGGGCAGAGCTGGTGCTGCATGTGGTGCTGGGGATGGAACCATAGTCCCTGCCCTCTTGTCTGAGCCTGCCTAAGCAGGCACTTTAGACCACTGAGCTATCTAACCGGCTCTTGGGTTACTGTTTTAACTGTTACGTTTTGTGGTTGTTAATTTGTGAACAGAAAAAAGCTCCACTTGACCTATACTTTGCTTCTACTTATTGTGCTATGGAATCAAGCCATAAAGTATAGTCTTTGATAGTTCCTAAATTTGGTGAATAGAAAGGTTATAGTGTCATTTTAATAGGATTTGAAAAAGAACATAGTTCAAAACTAGTATTTAGATAGGATGATTTTAATTTCTACCTCATTGAATAACACACTTCCTCTGCCATTCAGGGGATTCATTAGACATTAAGAAAAGGAAAGTGAAAGAATAGTTAGGATGAGCAAGCAGTACAGTGAAACAATCAGGCCCTGAAGCCAAAACTGGATTCAAATCCCTGCTTCTCACAAGCACATTTGGGTGAAGCAGGTAACCTTGGCCTTAGCTTTTGTTTGCAAAATCAGACTAGTAATTCCTACTTATGAGATTATTTGAGGATTAAATAAGGGAATGTAAGTAGAGTACTTAGTGTGTAATTGCCACCTACTAAGTGCTTAGCATTATTAGTTGCCTTTTTAATTCTTTTTTTTTTTTCCAAGCCAAACTGTATCCAGCTTTATTAAAGATACTTTTCATAAACAATCATGGTATTTCAGGCAGGACATGGGCACACAATCTTTAACAGTATACGACAACTTTCAAACTCCCTTCTTGGATGGACTACCAAAAATCAGAAAGCCACTATAAAATCCAATGAAGTCTGCATTTGAGGCTCTGAAGTAGG